TCTTAATAATAATAATAATAATAAAGGTGACTCAGTGTTTGTGTGATGAATTGCCTATCTGTAAGAGCCATTTAGGCGTATTTATGGAACATATTTACAGCTCCGGAAACAATGAAGTGACCACTGCACATTTAGCAGTTTCTCTGGTTTACTATTTATAGGTATTTGTTGGTGTTGGGGAAATATTTCCCAAGGCCCATAACTTTGACCCAGTTTATCAGTTCAAACTGTCCTGACTGAGCACACGCACCTCGTAACCTTGGCTGCTGTGCTCTCAGTGTTCTGTCTCCCTGTTCCTGCCTGTTGGCGTCAGCTGATAGAGGTGTTATGATTCTATCTTGTTATGCAGCATGTTGATGATGCTCTCAGAACTAGTTAAATACATGGGTCTGAGGTAGAGTTCTTCAGAATTGACGTGGCAACTCTACCGTGAAGTCAGAACCTCTGGCTCTTGGACTTGTGATGTGAATTCTCCGGCCGTAACTCCAAATAAACCATCAGTGTTTGACATCAAAGCTCCAGCTCTCCCCGTGTCTCTCTGAGTCCTGACTCCAATTGCTTCAGAAGTTTCCCCCACAGTTTGAGTAAAATGTAAATGTTTTCTTTTGATTCTATAAACTACTGACCAAATGTCCCTGTGCTGGAATCCAACAGACACTGGAATGGAATGGCTGCCATCATGTAGAGATTGAGATTTAAGAATCATTTGGAGTGGTCTCTTTTTTCCGGAGCGGCATATTCTTTTAATTTAATTTAAATGAATTTGATAATCATTAGTTAGAATTATACAGTTTTTGTATAGTTTTGTTTGTTTCTGGACTGCGCAAGGTTTATGTTTATTATTGTTTACGATCAAGTTTCTGCCGTAAAGCAGACTGTTCAAGTCTATGAGATTATCAAGGGTGTAACTTTGGTTTAAGAAGTGGGGGACACACAAAACAGGGGGTCCTCCGCAATGAAACATATATATTATCATTATATATAATGAGTGTGCAAACGTATCTAGTATCCTATCCATATGAACCTGTTTATTTGTGGGGGGACCTCACCTCCTCCAGGGGGGTCCGGGGGCATGCTACCCCGGGAAGATTTGTATCTTTAAATTGAAGTTAAATGCATCAATCTGGTGCACTTTGAGGGGGAAATTAAGAGATTTATGGATACAGCTCTCAACACTCATATAAAACAGAACTGTATAATGCTTCAATTAACTGGCTATTCTTTATAATATACTCAGATCAAGAGGAGACAGAGATGTTAAGTTATAAATCAAGGGTTTTTATTATTATTTACAGGTAGATATTATACACTTTTGACTTTAAGGGCTTCAGTTTTTCTTCTTCTTCTTTGCTTGCGAAAGTGTTTCTACTGCTTTAAGTCTGCTTTACTGCTTCACACAACCGACTGCTGCTGCTGCTGCGTCATGACGTCACCGGTGCTTATCAGGCTCTAGCTCCGAACCGGCCCTGGAACCGCGTTGGTGTAATAGTTCGCCAGAGCCTCGCAGCGGGGTTACAGCGCAGAAGTGCGCCGCATTTGCGCATGACTGATGTGCAACAACATGTGACTCCTCTGTTTGTATTCTGTTGGTCGCTTGTTAGCAGACCCTTCAGGCGATAGCAGAGCGAACAGGTACAGGAGGCGAAGAGCGAGGGATCATTGTCCACTAGTCGTGCTCGCTGATGGATACAAAAATATACTTTGGTGGCCGTTAATAGGCTATACGTGGGCGGCCCGCCCAAGTAAAGTCTATGTTTTGAAGTGAGAAGTTGTCCGTCAGTCCAACTGACCCCCCCCCCCAAACGAAAACTACAGAAGTCACCCAAATCAGCGTTAAAAAAGCGGGAGGCGCCGAAAAGCGACTAATTTGCATCACTGATATGTATTCACTCTCTGTCCTAAACGGCTTGTTGGAGCTCCTGCCCCCCCCTCCCTGTGAGCCCAGTGTGCTCTGATTGGTCGGGACGTTGCGAGGCTCATTGCTGCTGCGAGCTGCTGCGAGGAGCGGACAGGTTTCCGGGTCGGTGATACAGCGAGAACAAGCAAAACTCATCCTGAGCACACACAAACACTCACAGCCGAAGTAAAACAATAAGTGTGGCTTGATATTGAGAAAGAAGAAGGTTTCTAACGCTGTAAGAATGGATCTGCGGAAAGCATTTCTCCGCGATCCCAACTCGTCTATTACCAGCGTTCAGGGAGCTCCATGCAAGTCAATGGGGACTCCCTGTTAGTTAGCCAAGGGATCCTGGTGCGTGAGGGGCTCCGCGGATTGGTCCATTTGGGCCAATCCGGTCATTTGTTGTTGATTTGGGTGTTCACACGTCAGAGAACCCAGGAAGCAAACAATGGAAAAAGAGAAATCTCCAACGAGGCGTTCTGGGGCAGCATAGACAGGTCTTTTCTGTGTTTTACTCCCTACAGGGTGTACTTTGAGGGTTTGTGACTCTGCAGACCGTTTACATTTTTATGAAAAACCTTCATAACACACAAGGGGACAGGTAATAACCGGAAAAGCATGACATGGGCCCTTTAAAGTGTTGAAGTCAGTAATGGAACGCCATGGGATCTATGAAATATTACGTGAATACAACCCTCAAAACGTGACTTTATCATTAGAGGTTTTATGACATTTTAAACTAAAGTCAACACTCAAAATCGCCTTGTAGGCTAAGTGCCCTTGGAACCAGTGGCGTAGCCAGGAATTATTGTGTGGGTGGGCCTGGAGAAATGTAGGTGGGCCAGGGGGAGACATATTAAGCGTGGGGTCTGAGCTGAAACTTCATTAATGATTTTTTAATGCACTAATAGAACATAAGCATACATTAGCAGTGCAAACAAAAAACATAGGCACGGCGGCCTCAGATTGTGAGTAAAACTGACATCCACATAGGGATGGGTATCGTTAAGGCTTTAACGGTACTACTACTTTTATCGATAGCGCTTATGCTTATGCTCCAGGTTCAGTACCAACCACATCATAAAGTACGCGGACGATACAACAGTGGTGGGACTCATCAGGGACAACAACGAACAGGCCTACAGGGAGGAGGTGAAACATCTGACAGACTGGTGTAACACCAACAACCTGATCCTGAATGTCGATAAAACAAAAGAGATCATTGTCGACTTCAGGAACAAAAAGCACTGTCACCCACCACTCCACATCAACGGCACAGCAGTGAAGACTACAGACAGCACCAAGTTCCTGGGGGTGCATATCACAAGCAGTCTGACCTGGTCCACTCACACGACATCACTATTTAAGAAGGCACAGCAGCGCCTACACTTCCTGCACAGCTCCCCCCTCCCATCCTCACCACGTTCTACAGAGGAACCATAGAGAGCGTGCTGACCGGCGGCATCTCCATCTGGTCGAGAGACTGCAACGCCAAAGACTGGAAGTCTCTGCAGAGAGTGGTCAGGACAGCAGAGAAGATCATCGGAGTTTCTTTCCCTCCCATCAGAGACACCGCTCAGAAACGCTCCCTGACAAAAGCCCAGAACATGTTTAAAGACCCCACTCATCCTCACCATGCTCTGTTCTCCCTGCTGCCCTCCGGCAAGAGGTTCCGCAGCATTAAGAGCAGAACAGCCAGATTCTACAATAGCTTTTTCCCCCAAGCCATCAGACTGCTGAACAGCAAGTAGACCAGTAACATAAAGATTACATTACGCTGTGTAAAGAGCACATATTTGTTATATAGTATGTTTATTTATATGTATAGTAAGTCTTTATATTTTAAACGCACACTTTATCTTTAATTTTATCAGCACCACGTCACTATTATTTATTTATATGTACAATTTTAGCAAGTTTTTACATTGTCCTGTTCCTGTAAGCCAGTACAGCGATATTTCGTGTTAATAGTACACTCTGTGTCTTGTTGAAATGACAATAAAGTATGTCTGTCTTATCGATCCGGTCCTTTAACATTACTTTTATCGGTTCTTTTGGAGAAAAAAATAAAGTAAACTAACTAAACAAATTGTGAACAAAACTAACATTGCTTTTTATTTAAATTAAATAAATAATATTTCACATCAAAAGAAACAACAATGTTTTAACAAATCGTATTAAATAATCTGATGACAGAATTGTAAACAGAATAGCTGAAACTTTAACAAACTAAATAACTCAGTTTCCTCTAATCATTAACCCATGTTTGTATCATGTAGTTAACTCCGTGTGTTGCTGCTAGCATACATAACACCTGACGTGGAAACGTTACTCGTGGATGGGGCTACAGAGCTGCTAGAAAGACGGTCGAACCCGGTGCATTCCTCCGTCTGGATGTGGAGCACTTTTGATAAATGTTTAAACAAATTGCTCGTGTTACCGCCCTTACATGCTAAACTCTTATTGCACTTTTGGTAACGAGCATTGTCCACATCGAGACGGGTAAAGTTTAACCACACCTCGGAGCGCGTTCTCTCCGCCATCTCCTCCGTGTGTGTGTGTTCTGTGTTGCTGCATGTAGCAGCTGCGTGTGTGTAAACTGCTCCGCCCCCTCGCTCATTCACTCACGGCAAAAGTTACTTTACTTACTATAAAAACTCACGGTAAAAAAATGCACTCCCTATTCCATTGTCATGAAGGTGGAATCTAACTATATCCAGAATACGTTTTATTGGATCCAGGCTAGAAACATGTTTATTTCTGCTGTAAAGTTGGGCATTTTAACATGGGGGTCTATGGGAATTGCTCCTTTTTGCATCCATCCCCTGTCGGCCACTAGATGAACTGCAGTTTGTGGCACTTCCTTCTGGGCTTCCCGGCTCTGCGCTATGAAGCGCTGATTGGCTGTGGGTGGGCCAGACGTGCATGTGGGTGGGCCAGACGTGCATGTGGGTGGGCCCAGGCCCACCCGGGCCCACCCATAGCTACGCCACTGCTTGGAACTTCGTATTTTGGATAATCGGCCACTACACTATCGTTCTAAAATCTGTTGCAGGCTGCAGGCAGGTCATATGTTGTGGGGGGGCAGTGTAACACCTACCTGCTCGGCCCGGGGCCCCTCAGACTCTTGCTGCTCTGCAGACGAGGAGGAGTCTCCCTGGGGGGACGTGGAAGGTTCACTCTCTGCACCCCCGCTCTCACTGGGCTGTCTGGATAAACTGGACTCTTCCTGCAGTAACACACAGGACACTGCAGTCACAACATGGCCTCAAATACAGTTATTATAAACTATTACACACAATTACTTCAACAATGCTAAATATAACAATACAATGCATGATATTTCCACTTCATTGTGGTTCACTTCAGATGACTTAACTAAATGTATAGCATGGCTGTATCTCATTTAAAAGGAGACGAGCCAAGAAAGAAAATAAAAGTCTGTTTGTTGATCAATGATTGTTTAAAATCATTAACAATGGCGGAATTACTATAATGGTTCATATGCTAAATTCAGTATAATGTACATTCACATAGCACTAACACATTTCCAGTATATGAAATTTGAGCTATAAAGGACTTTTCATGTAGGAAGTGTCAATGACACACTGACTGTATAATAATACTGGATGGATGGGTAGATGTCTGAGTGAGTGTGTGTGTGTGTGTGTGTGTGTGTGTGTGTGTGTGTGTGTGTGTGTGTGTGTGTGTGTGTGTGTGTGTGTGTGTGTGTGTGTGTGTGTGTGTGTGTGTGTGTGTGTGTGTGTGTGTGTGTGTGTGTGTTAATATGTGTATTTTAAGGGGGGGGGACATATTTTCAAAATCCTATATCATGATATAGGTAATTGTATACCAAGTAAACCTTGTATATCTTGATACAGTACATGTTCTGTAAATGAAATGAAAATACAACACAGTTACAGTACTGGGGCCTGGGGCGTCCAAAGAGGTCCGCCACCCTGCATATTAAGACACCTCCAAGTGTATTGTCTGCAACTTTTCTCCAAATCTTTCATCAAACGTTGGTCATACGCATTCAATTGGTCTTTGACAGTATTGAGCCCTTATTTGAGACATAATTCCACCTTCCTCAATGACAATCTGTAGAGTTTTCTGAAAATGTTAAGCTTCAACAGAAACCCAACATTTGACCAAGCTGTTTTCCCATGTGGTCCTTTACAAAGAGCCAAGAAATGAAATAACAGAATAAGCTTAACTGTGCAGTGAACAGCTGAACATGCTGCTGCAGCAATCCACAGTGTGAGGTCCATCCATCAAACGAGGCAGCATCATCGACATCATACTATAATGACCCATGGGTCTGTTTATGTGTATGTATAATCGTTTTGATTATGTCTCCCATCCTTGGACTGATCTACTTCATGTTTAGCGTGTGTGTTGTTGTGGACAAGACGAAAGAGAGCAGTGTCACCTGTAAATGTTTTTGGATTAGCAGTTCTGCAGAAAACTGAAAAACCCGGAACCATTGCCAGAGTTTGGTTACCTCCTGCTCTAAGCTGTTATGGTGCAAATAGATATACATGTATTAGATGTGTGCATCAAAGCTCATCAAAGCTAGAGCATTCAGCTATCATTTGCACTCATGATGCGTATATTGTAGAGTTTCTATAAGGTAGAAACTCTACAAGAATATACGCATCATGGACTCACTACGAAACCCACAAAGCAGCAACACAAGCAAATCCTCAACGGTTACTGCACTAGAAACATTACAAAATATAAATAATAATGAAAACAAAATGGTAGGTACAGGATTAATTGGAGAAAGAAATCTGTATTTCTGTATTATAAGAAGTATTTATAAAGTGTTAGTAGGGTTTTGGTTGTGAGTATGGCTGTGGTTGATGCAAAGAGAGCTTAATACAGAGAAATCACAAGTCTAATGACCGACAACATCTTCCTTTTTTTCCCCTTCACAATGGAGTACATTTTGTTTTCACAAACGCTTGGACTGTTCTCCTCACTCAGTTAGTCAGGGACAGACTTGTATTGATGACCACACTTTGCTGTCGTCAAGAAGAGACAGAGCAGCAGAGTTGTGAGGATTCAATGAATTTGGTACTTATGTTGTGTTGGGTTTACAGGAACAGCAAACACAAACACAATTACAATTGAAATTAAAATACTTTTCAAACTAAGCCTTGATTTCTCTTGACTGTTGGGATAAACAGAAATGAGTTTTTCTCATTTGAATCAGACAGTATTGAAACACTTGTGAAAAATAATGAAGGGTAAGAGCTTGTTATGAATGTTTATTGTCCAGCCCTCGTGTTGCAGCCAGCGTCTGTACCTTGAAGTTGATTTGCTGAGCCAGCTCTTTAGCCTGGTCGTCCTCTGCGCTGGGGTCACTGTTGGGGGTCAGAGCCAGGAGGGCGGAGCGCATGGAGCCCCCCCCCACACGCCTCACAGCAGAAGTCCTGGGACCTGCAGGACAACACATGTTACATGGTGAGGTCATCCTGCTGCAGGAGCACTTTTTATTCTCCTCTTGATAATATAATAATAATAATACATCTGTATTTGTATAGCACTTTCCATACACCAGCTCAAAGTGCTTTAACACCAAGGCACACATCACAATGAAAACAGAAGAAGAATATCACATCAGGCCAGACATTAAAACCGTATAGCACATATGCAGCATAGCAACATGAGATAATGATGATACACATTTAAATAAATAATGATCCCTCTCGGTAAAATAAAGGAAGACAAAACCAATAAAAACTATCAAATATAAAAACCTATACATTTAAAAAAATGTTTTAAAAATAAGATGCCAAATAAGATGATAATAATAAAAAACTATAAGATAAAAAGAATGATAAAAGGAAAAAAGACCAGAAGTGTTGCTCATAAAATTGTAAAATAAATGATAGAAGTAAAAACATTTAAAATAAATAAAACAATATACAAATACATAAATAATAAAAGACCATTTAAAAGTGGGGTGTCGCTAATAAAAGCTAACCTAAAAAGATGAGTCTTTAAAAAAGTAGGCTTAACCCATTTTATTTTGGGGGACTTTGGGAGATATTTCTGTTAGAATAGACATTCAGTGTTTCCAATTATTAGCCTAGATTACTTGATTCATTTTTGGATGTACTGTAATTCTGTTTCCACAGCCTTACTAAAACAAGCCTGAACTGATTGTTTGTGTTACTGTCGATACGATGGCAGTGGTTCAAATAAATGACCTGTAAATTATGAATGGTGTCAACATAATTGTTCTGGCTGACTTGCCACAGTACCACAGGTGTACCTGCCAAGTTGCAAAAATTGACCTGATTTATTGCCCACCGGCTTGTACATTAATTCAAATTTTCACTGATACATGTCTCGCTATGGTTTGCAATTGTACAACAGCTCATGCTTGTAATTGATCATGGAGTGCGATTCTTTTTTTTTTGTAAAACTACACACAATATCTTAAATATGTATGTCATAGCTCTGTGGTTTGAGTAAAATCATGAAGATATTTATTCCCTTTTCTTTTTGTCCTGAATGTGTCCATTCTAACTCTTTATCAGGCTGCAGTTTCTCTCCCAACCTCCCTTGTAGAGATTTGAGAAACACAACTACAACATTCTTGACTTACATGTACTGCTTAGTCAGTGTAACTAGGTATCTGTATAGGAAGACGACGCCCCCTTCCATTATTCCGTTTACAGTGCAAAGCTCTGATCAAACCCGATTTGGTGTAATTCCAGAACAGATATCACCATGCAGTTAAAGAGGTTACAGCTATGTAAATCAAACTATGCAACTAAACCCAATGCTAACCTAACCCTTCTAACCCTAAAAGTGAATTCCAAGTGGTCAAAAAGCCACACGAAGAGGTGAAGACTTCCTAAAAGTTCCTCTTCAACGTGATGTTACCTCAAACATACACACATAATTATTGTGGAGCAGTGTACCAGTTTTAAAGAGGCCATATTATGCTCATTTTAAGGTTGATATTCGTATTGAGTGGCTCTACTGTGACATATTTCCATGCTTTAATGTGTGTTAATGTGTGTTCCTCCCTTTGGAGGAAACTTTGGGATTTTAGCCTTTCAGACCATAAACCAAAAAACTATAAAACACACTAGCTATATAACACAGACACAACCTATAAAACACACTAGCTATATAACACACAAGTTACCTATAAAACACACTAGCTATATAACACAGACACAACCTATAAAACACACTAGCTATATAACACACAAGTTACCTATAAAACACACTAGCTATATAACACACAACCTATAAAACACACTAGCTATATAACACACAAGTTACCTATAAAACACACTAGCTATATAACACACAACCTATAAAACACACTAGCTATATAACACACAAGTTACCTATAAAACACACTAGCTATATAACACACAACCTATAAAACACACTAGCTACTGTATATAACACACAACCTATAAAACACACTAGCTACTGCATATAACACACAACCTATAAAACACACTAGCTATATAACACACAACCTATAAAACACACTAGCTACTGTATATAACACACAACCTATAAAACACACTAGCTACTGTATATAACACACAACCTATAAAACGCACTAGCTACTGTATATAACACACAACCTATAAAACACACTAGCTACTGTATATAACACACAACCTATAAAACACACTAGCTACTGTATATAACACACAACCTATAAAACATACTAGCTATATAACACACAACCTATAAAACACACTAGCTACTGTATATAACACACAACCTATAAAACGCACTAGCTACTGTATATAACACACAACCTATAAAACACACTAGCTACTGTATATAACACACAACCTATAAAACGCACTAGCTACTGTATATAACACACAACCTATAAAACACACTAGCTACTGTATATAACACACAACCTATAAAACGCACTAGCTACTGTATATAACACACAACCTATAAAACGCACTAGCTACTGTATATAACACACAACCTATAAAACGCACTAGCTACTGTATATAACACACAACCTATAAAACGCACTAGCTACTGTATATAACACACAACCTATAAAACGCACTAGCTACTGTATATAACACACAACCTATAAAACACACTAGCTACTGTATATAACACACAACCTATAAAACACACTAGCTACTGTATATAACACACAACCTATAAAACGCACTAGCTACTGTATATAACCACACAACCTATAAACGCACTAGCTACTGTATATAACACACAACCTATAAAACAGCACTAGCTACTGTATATAACACACAACCTATAAAAACACACTAGCTACTGTATATAACACACAACCTATAAAACACACTAGCTACTGTATATAACACACAACCTATAAAACACACTAGCTACTGTATATAACACACAACCTATAAAACACACTAGCTACTGTATATAACACACAACCTATAAAACACACTAGCTACTGTATATAACACACAACCTATAAAACACACTAGCTACTGTATATAACACACAACCTATAAAACACACTAGCTACTGTATATAACACACAACCTATAAAACACACTAGCTACTGTATATAACACACAACCTATAAAACACACTAGCTACTGTATATAACACACAACCTATAAAACACACTAGCTACTGTATATAACACACAACCTATAAAACACACTAGCTACTGTATATAACACACAACCTATAAAACACACTAGCTACTGTATATAACACACAACCTATAAAACGCACTAGCTACTGTATATAACACACAACCTATAAAACACACTAGCTACTGTATATAACACACAACCTATAAAACACACTAGCTACTGTATATAACACACAACCTATAAAACGCACTAGCTACTGTATATAACACACAACCTATAAAACACACTAGCTACTGTATATAACACACAACCTATAAAACACACTAGGACAGAATCAAACAAAACAAAAGCATAAAAGGACGCATTAAAATAACATTACACTTATGTGCTGCCTGTGTAGTGGGTGGCACTTAGTAAAACAAAAGTACTGTCATCTGGTCCATTGGTAATGTGGCTCCTTGGTTATGATACTATACAGATTTGTAGACTGAGGAGCTGCCTGTACTTTTCAGAGCTGTGTATGAATCCTGTCAACAAACTGGCACACGAGCCATGTGCATCTGTATAAATGACGGTTGTGTTCCTGGAACTGGCTGTCTGTTTGCATTGTTGTCTTCCTAATAGTGCCTCATTGGCTGACAGGTTCAGTTTGCCTTCTCCACCTGCGGCACATTCAAATGTCAGGCCCGCGTTGAGGATCTGCTATGTTACCTTCACGCCCTCATGTCAGTCCTGACAGCGCTATGAGGAGGATCACCACAGCCTCTTAATGCAGTTAGGTAAAAAAATGCGTCCCCTGCACCGGCTAATGGGCTGATGTCACAGCGATGTAGAGGAGGGATGAATCATGCTCTGAGGAACACCATGTCATCACCGCCGCGCTCCGCAGGCTAAAGGTGGCATGGACAGATTTGGATACATTATGCTGTCAAATGATCCCAATCACTGTCTTCCTCTGGAGCCAAACTGAAATAGAATTATTTTCAAGTGAAATTAGGATGTAGCTGGAGGAGAAGCTGGGCTTATTAGGCAACAGACGTTTTGCCTCCAGTCATCATGTCACCACCACACCACAGGCAGTCTATAAAGCGGACACCATGCAGACAGGCACCGTGGTTGGTCGATGGTTCCTCACTAGAATGACTGTTTAGATCCTTTTAGGCGTACATGGCGATCATCAGGAGAACATCTGAGCTGGGGGGAAAAGGGCAAAGACTGGAGGTTTGGGGTGTCAATTCTGAGACGCACACTGACCGGACAGTAGTTTGGATGTTATTCATTATTTAGTTAATTAGTTCATCATTATTTAGATTCAGTAAAGTGTGTGACCCAGTATTTTCTAAAATGAAGCAGTAGAGCCAAAACCAAACAAACTACTATGATAAAAACGCCATTCAAACTTTTAAAAAGCCTTTGATAATTATAAACGAAGGGGAAAAACATGCTTGTGAGAACTAAGTGCGCTTTCCTGCACTTTGCTCAGTTGAACAATGTCCCCCTTTAGCCCGCCTCAGGCGATTCACAGGACAAGACACACAACTGGAAGCTGTGTAAAAAGCAGAGGAGATAGTGTTGGCATATCTGCCCAGTGGAAAAAGAAAATGCATACTCAAACACCATCTGTTCACTCAGGCCTTTGGCCTCAACTAATATACAGTACTCAGCAACCTGTTCCTGTTTTTGTTTTCTTCAGCCTATGTATCTTTATTATTACTTTTTGTTTTGTTACTTCCCATTGTAAAGCGTCCTTGGGTTTCGTGAAAGGCGCTATATAAATTGAAATTATTATTATTATTATTATTATACTGCAATATAGCATAACACTATTTATCAACTGAGAGGGTAAGCTTTTACACTAAATAAAATAAACAACATTTAATATAAAGGTTATAAAAGTAAGAGAGTATTTGATTTCATCTGATTTACCTTGGGATTGCCAAGCCGGTCCCTTTCCAAAGACGTAGCTACACAGGAAGTGTTTCAGCAGCGTCCGTCAGTCATCCGTCTCTCAGCTGGATCTACTTTAATCAATAACTGCTCACGCTTCACACACATTTTGGTCTATCTCATTATATGTTTCCTTTCTATCACAATAACACTGTGACTCCTAGGATAACTCACAGTGACCAACAAAGGAGATGATTGAGGATTTGACTTTTTCCCGACCAGTTTCGGAGATCAAAAAATACATTTGGCCCTTTTTTAGCATCTTTGTCAAAGAAAATATCTTTAAAACCCATGTAAGCTATATCCACACACTGTAACTTCATTCTAACAATGATCATCACAAAATGCAATGAGAGAAGTTCTTCTGGTTATGAAATGTGTCCTCCGGTGCCAGAAATGACTGACATTTTTCATATTCATTTCTGAAACTTCTCAATTCTCCACAGGACCCCCTGTGTTTGCCCTGCAACATTACTTTGACAGTTTACTTGTCAGTTACAGACTCAGCAAACTCTGAATACATCCTGCTGTGCAGAGGACTCTTTATAAATGACAGCCTTCACAATCACCATGGGAACGGAACCAGAAGATGAGAAATCAAAGAAAGTTGCTGCGTCAACCTTAGACAGAGTTAAAAAAGTGGGTTTCCATCAGGGAGATAAGCAGACATGTATTTATAGCAAAGTGCGTCTTCTTGTGTATCTCATCTCCGTCTCATAATGAAACAGGCAGCTGATCAAGACCCCCGTCTCCTCTGCTAATAGAAAAGCAACGTTAGCTGGATCCTCGCCATCGCTGGCTTTGTACCGTGTCCCCCGAGAGAAATGCGGTGTGAAATGAAGAGCAACATGCCCACTCATGATCCCTCCAGAGACTGGGTATTTTGGCGATAATGCATTTTTTCATCTTGTAATACCAACACTGGCTTGGGCGCATCCTTCCCCCTTTGTGACTAGTAAGTTATTAGTGGGAGGCATGTCCGCCGAGGCTCAGGTGCTGATTACATTACATTCTTGTGTGACTTTTTCTTTCTTAGGGCCTGTGTCCACATAGCGCCTCTTTGTGAGCACCAGTGGTTTTTTACATTGTTTATGAGGAGTGAGCCCACGTCGTTGCATGCGGCTGCCTTGAGAAAAACTTTGCATCCTGCTTTTTTCAGAGCGCTCTTCTGTTTTTGTGAGGCTGCTCTGAGCGCTTGTAGTTGAACATGATTCTGCTTTATCCTACGTGAGAATGAACTCACAATGGAAGAATATAGTAAATGAGAAACCAAGTTCCTATCTTTGATGAAAGATGGAATGTCGGACACTGGATGTTGCTGCCAGTGAGTGTCTGACTTTGACCTCCATGAGCAGATCGTTCACCTCCCTCTACAGCTGTCTCAATGAGCGGTGAAGCTCATTCAGACAAGACCAAGAGTCTTCTGGTTGGTCCGGTCGGAATGATGTCAACAATGTCCAACAAACTAACATAAACAAGCCCTTTATGCCCTCTGACTAGCATCATGCATCTAATGGCGGCACTGTCCATATCCTTGACCTGTTTGCTAATCCAGCATGCAAGACCACATCATCTGCTCCACACCACTCAGCTCATCAGTCTCTAGCCATAGCACACAAGTCACGCCCTGCAGAGTGTGAACAATAGAAGGATATGCATTCAGTAAATCTTACTTTTTGGCAAGGGCCCTCCTCTCTTCTGGAGTATAATCGAGAGATCCTATGGCCCCCTCTCCTTTTGTTGGCATGAATCCGATTATAGCTATCAGGGCAGTACGAACTGAAAGAGAAAAACAAAAGGAAACATTGAAAATCCGAGCACAAAAAGGGAATCAGAGACGGTTAAACAACACAATGTTGCACATGTCTTCATGTTCAGTGCCTGTGTTACAGAAGTGAGAATGGCGCTTTGTTTTCTGGACGTAAGCATGGATTTACCCTGGCCTATGTGAGGACATCCACCTTGTGTCTGTGCTCACACATTCTCCAGCTGGCACAGGACACTTTGGACAATATGGTGAAGGTCAAAGGTTTGTTTGTGTCTGTGTTATGACTGCTGTGTTCGGTCTGAGCTCCAGAATATCCAATGAAGTATATGGACACCCATTATATCTGACTGTCTTAGTAAGATAAGCCTACCTTAAAGGTTATCCACATTTGATTGTATTATGATAACAAGCAAACATTGAATATAAGGATATAGCAAGGATTAAAGGACTTATGCAGGATTGAGTCGAGTACTGTATCCGTTTCTGCACTACCCTCAGATTATTTTGCACATTTGTACACAAGCAACCTCTCTTAGTATCTACACAGCCTTCCACTTTTCATTACAATACATTGTCTTTGGCTATATCCAGATTTCATGGTAATCATTTTCTATATATTAATGTACAGTATACACCTTTAAAAAAAAAAAAGAATATATAATAATTGTTTGGGTTGTTTTTCTTACTTTTTATCTTCTTCAACTGTTTTTATGGATACACCATATACACCAAGGAAAATTACTCGTATGTGTTTACCTACTTGTCAATAAACCGGATTCTGATCTAGAACGCTCCTCTAGTCCTGCAATGGCACAACTTATGGCTGATTGGACATTCAAATATTAGAGCCCTTACTGTTAATATTATAATAGTGTAATATTTATATAAATGCAAACAGTTTTAACTACAGACCAGGGAAACATAACAAATATAGAAATACGCGTATATTCATGAATGAATCAAAGTATATAGTGTCTATTGTCAAAGGGAACGTTTGAATTACTAACATTAAATGTGTGGCAGAAAAGTATTCAACTGTCAATATCCCTGGAATCACTGCCGCTGGATCGAAGAGCACAAATTGCCTCTGTTGCTCTCCCTGAGGTTTCTCCCATGTTTCCCTTTAAACTGTGGGTTTTCTCTGGAAGTGTTTCCTTGTACGATGTGAGGGTCAAAGGACAGAGGGTCTAAGGACAGAGGGTCTAAGGACAGAGGGTATCGTATTGTCATACTGATATTCTGAACAATCTGTGAAGACCACTGAGACAAATGTAACATTTGTGATATTGGGCTATATAAATAAACATTGATTGATTGATTTAGTAGTTTAAATAGTAGGATGGTAGCTCCCACTGAGTTCCGCCTGATTAAATGCCACGAAGTTAGTTAAAAAAGCAGAACCCTGAAAAGGTCCGATCCCCTGCAGAGAATGAAAATGAGTTCTCAGGAGAATGTTTTAACAGTTTTACCAACAAGAACTCAAGCATATTGTATTTTGGAATGGCCAGCACTAAGGATATAAAGTTAATTCCAAGAAAATACCCAGAAAAATATAGGACCCTGAAGTCAGAGCAAAAGTCATTGGCCAATGAACATGATTCATATTGGTGTGGCAATGTGTTAGTATACACTTTTTAAATGATAAACAGAGTTTGAAGATCATAGCCGGTCCATGTTCTGCATGAGTACTGTCACGTGAGGTTGAAGACCAACAGGTTCCATTTCACCCAAAGACTACAGCACCTTCAACTCTGGTTAAAGGTGATTCCTGTCAAATTGTCAAGTGTTTTAGTTGGAAGCCTCTGTTTTCTGATCAGATCCTGTTTTAATACTTTTGTTAAACTCAAAACTTCTTCCATGTTGTCTTGTTAACTTTATTATAATGTGCATTCCCTCAGGACTAATCCTCAAAAACCCAGCACTTCCTGCACATACTGTATGTTTCAAAATGAAAGCCTGCACTGCAATGTTCATAACTTCATCTGTTCCTTTATATGAAACATTTGCAGGACATGCTCAGTTTCATTGATTGAAGCTTAACAGAGCTAAATAATGTCAAAGTAGTTTAGAATTAACGGTTGAATGAATAAAGTATTTGTGTTTAGAGTAGGATCCTCGATCAGCCGAGTGGTGAATGTACCCTAAGAAGTTGTACTAATAGATGTAGTACTATAAAATGTACATAAGCCTGAATGTACAATGTGAGCCATTAGAGTACAGTAATTGCAACCCCTCTCTTACTAACGGACCTTTATTTATATTTGCTAGTCACACTTCCCACTTTATTTGAATTAAGATGAATTCTTTTTTTTTTCCAATAAAATATTTTTGATCATTCAAGATTCCTCTCCAGAACACACTAAATCAAACTGTGCATGAACCTACAAATAAAGACAGAGCATCAATAGTTTCCCACACATTTGCTCGACAATTCCTCGGTTTATAAAAATGTTTAGTTCTACAATTTAGACTGATTCTTATTACGAATTAGAGAAACTGGGGGCATGCGCTAAATGTTGGGACTTGGCTTTGAGCTGCTCGTACCTAATTGCCTCTTTGTGGGTTATAAAGTTGTTTTGAATTTGAAAATAATTCAGTTGGAGGAAACTCACTGCTCCAAGAGGGCTGCCATGTCTCTGGATGGTGGCCAGAGATGCTCAAACAAATTTTCTTCCCAACTTCGAATCTTCCATTTGGCTAGGAGGGAAGGCAAAAAAGAGAAGGTGGAGGTGAGTATGTGGGTAGAAATACATCAATAAAACATACATTTCAAAATATGAGAAATATAAGTAGACAGTAGGGTTGGGAACCGAAACTCAGTTCCAGATGAGAACCGATAAGAAAATGCTGGGTACCCATACAAAATACACAATTTTGGTTCTGCTTAACGGTTCCTAAACGCGGTAGACCCACCGGGTCCGTCTGCACCGCGGTGACCCGGTGGAATACAGGGTAGGCGGACTGGCCATCTGTGTGTTCTGGAGAATCACAGAACGGCCGGTCGTCAGCGGGCCGTTGGCGGCCGGCTCGGTACGCTGACGGCCGGCACCGCCCTTAATTTTTTTAAACGGCATCATGTAAGTTGCGCTGACAGGCGACAGAGGTCCACAGTTGCCCCGCAGCGAGGCTCCCCCGCCCTCCCGTAGGCAGTTCACGAGCTCAGTCACTTCATAACACCAAAGATAGATGGCGGTAAACGCTCTGAAGTGAGGCTCCACTACACTAAGAAAGAAAAAGACAAGGCACAGTGTAATGCCTCTTAATAGCTTGCCACAGGCAAAGCTCAGTTAAAATAAAGCACAGCTATTGCGCAATACATTTGTATTGCATGTATATTTTTTATTTGTAAAAATGTCAGTTAAAGCTTAAAAGAATAAAGATATTTCTGTTATCTAAACGTTTGACCTCTTTCTTTTACAATTTTGGAATCGAAACAGGGAATCGATAAGAACCGGAATCGATAAGCAGAACCGGAATCGATACATTTCAAACGATACCCATCCCTAGTAGACAGACATAAAGGTTTGACAGAGTTGAGAGTATGGAATAAGTAAAAAAAAAAGGAAGCTATTCAGTAAAAGTTTTCAATCAATGAATGCAAACTAAAAAAGAAACATTATAGAAAGGATCTGCAGTAGCTAAGTGGCTGGACACAATGAAAAAGTGTCAAGAGAAATCAGAGATGTTGTCAGTCTGTGATTGGTGCAGGTGTCAGACAGAATATGAATATAATGAGAAGTCTCATCTTTTCAAAAAACCCGTGCAATCCCCTCTGACAGTGTGACGACAGCCCAGGCTTTCATCTGACAACTGTCACTGCGTATGCTGCAACCAGACATGTCTGAGGGTTCAATGACATGCTGTCCTCTTAACACTTCTTGATCATCTGATCTGATGTCTTTCTGTTCTGTTTCAGCACAAGAATAATGGTCTGTGATTGAGTAGGGGCCGTCCTCTGTGTCTTACCGTGAGGAGGATGATGCTCGGGGGCTTCATTGGATACTCTGGGGGAAGCACAATCCTGCCGTGGTAAACCCCGCTATCGAAATCAGAATCTGGGGGCCCACGTACGGAGAAGTGCCATTCGAAGAGGTTATCCTGTAAAAAAGAGAGAAATATCACACAGAGCCGACATGTTCCTCCTGAGGGACCAAACCTGTGAATTCTCAGATCTGAAGTGACAACACTGACAGTGTGTGTTACCAGCTGTTTGTTGTTATAACAATTTGTTTTACTACTGGGCATTATCTAACCTAAAGATAGTCAAAATGTATTTCTATTACAAAAAAATCACTATATCTTATATTATGACATTAACTATAAATCTAACTTTTTTTCTTTAAAGAGGACATATGCTCATTTTCAGGTTCATATTAGTATTTTGTGTCTCTACTGGGACATGTCTCCACACTTTAATGTTCAAAAAGCTCTTGCGTCCCGCCCCTTAGCCCTATCATGTACAATGTATTGGAGCGATAACCAATACACGCACAAGTGTTACATAGTAATGTCATTATGTTACAGTAGCAAACAAGGGAGCCCAATGGAGGCATTTCAGGCAGGGGGGGATTTTTGCCTTTGCAGACCATGTACATGCACAAAACCCCTACAGGATTGGGCAAATCCTAAAAAGCTTAATAGGGCCTCTTTAAGTAAAGGTTTCAAGTTGATTTATTGTCATTCGACAACAGATTTGAAAAAACGAAATGTTGTAGTCACAAAAATATATGGTAGTCTGGTGTTTGACAGATACTTCAGTATCACTTTCCAGACAGCTGTAGGGTGAACAAGCTGTTGCTGTGGTTGGTATTGTATAATATATTTTCGTTCGCAGTCGTGGGTGTACAATGTGAGCAGGAGTATGTCGCCGCCAATCTAAACTGCCTGGGGTCCCTTTGTAAAGCAGTCTAATATCCAGTGTGAAACTGAAGTCCAGAGTGAAGAGTTTACAAATCATGGGGGAGATTGTGTTGAATGCTGAGCTGAAATCCACAAACAGCATTCTGATGTAGGTGTTGTTATCTTCCAGATGTGTGAGCGCTGAATGGAGGACAGTGGAGGCAGCATCCTCTGTAGATCTGTTTGTTCTGTGTGAAAACTGTCTGGCAGGGATGTTGTTTTTGATGTGCTGGAGAACCAGTTTCTGAAAGGACTTTGAGAAACACATCACTATGGGGATGAGAGCTGTAGTTGTTTTCATGAGACTTGGGTTACAGGGATGATAGTGCCTGTCCGGAAGCAAGTGGGATCTTCAGTGAAATATGTGGGAAATGTCTGAGAGGAGATCAGTAAGCTGGTTGGCACAGGTTATTAGTACACGACGGGTGATGGGGTGGCTGATGTGCAAATCAGATCAGCTCACATCCGCTGTTGATCCTGACAGTGGCCGGTCCTCTGGAGGAGGGACAGACTTGTTTGCTGCCTCTTCGTTAAGGAGATCAAATTGAGCATAAAAAGTGCTAAGCTCATCTGTGATATTTGTCCTCACACAGGATGGAGACACTACTGCATTGAACCATGTGATATTTGGTGATTCAAAGGAAAAAATTATTTGAATCTAAACTAATCTAGTCCTCCAACTCATACGACCAAATGGGCCGATTGTTCAGGCCCTTATTACGACCAAATATGTCGTTTGTTCAAGCGCTTAATACGTCCTATAATTACGTTTGAAAGTTTTCGCCCTCTAGTGCTCCCGTTGAATGCTAACGTTACAGATGGTCGTTTATTCACAAATAACCCTCTCTGTAAAATCCTAAATTGTAGGATAGTTTGGCCATTAAAACGCTTTTTGATTAGATTTCTAGCGAGAAGTGTATATTGTAGGCCTACCTTTAGAATCCACGTCCAGTCGATATGTAGGATCTATAGTTTGATAGATATTGCGAAGATGATTTGAGGTATGCGGCAGCCTCCATGTAAAGTTACGGGTTGAAAACAGTATTTCCGGTCTCAACGTTTTCATAATAAAACCAATGATCAGATGATTTAACAGTGATATCTGCAGTACTCATCAACTGAAAAACATCAGTTTATCCTTGTTAATTATACGACATTTATTGGTTTAAATTGTGTACAATGCTTTTGTGTTTTTCCCATAGGTTTTTCTCTTTGGATTCTGAGAGACACCTTTCTTTTTTCAGAGGTTTTGATAGGCTAAAACATCGATTGTTTTAGCCGCAATGCATGTTGGGGGATGGTGTTTATGGGATATGAAATCGGAAAAACATTTTTTTTTAAAAAATAATACTTTATTCCGAGTGTTCTTGCTTTTCTCTTTGGAAGTCATCACATATCGGCATTGTAATACACGGTTCGGCTGCATTAAATATTACATATCTGCCGTAGATATTTATTTATAGAGCCCTGATCAGAAGACCTTTTGACAAACTGGAAGAGATGCCGCCAAAACTGAATACGTGACGTGGATCATAAATATATCAACAATTAAACAACACCTTCCATTTCTTTTCACACAATACGTCTCCTTGCAGTATCAACACTAATTCGGCTGACTTTACATTTGTATAGGTTATATTTACACCATAACGGTGCACAGACTGTTACAGGTCTATACAGGTTCATGGTACAATGCATAAGCTTCAAATCGAGAGACTGAAACTGTATTTTCCTTTACCGTTCTGTTTTAATTTCACAATAAAGTTAATAGTCATATGTTTGATATTATTATGTTTTATTAACTACACCACTGGTTTTTTAACCCGCACCGCCTAGTGGTTAAAGCACGTTATTGAATTTTGTTGTTGAATAAGTTTTATTTGATGAAAACATTTAAATATTAAGAGTAGCCTACATACAAAATTGAGGGAAAGTAGAAGGCATGATAGAAATATAGAATATAAAAGATCAAGAAGAGGGGGCTGGACCCGTCCTATTCCAGTTTTGGAAAGTCTGCCGTGGTTCCATTCCATTTCATAGAGCTGTTTGTCGCTCAGAGTAACCTTGTCGCACTGCCACTCCAACATCCAATCACAGGGCTTGATGACTAATCACGGTGTTTGTAAAGCAAGGCGGATGTTGTAGTCTGGGGATTCTGGGTAGTGTAGTGTCTTCGGAAACTGTAGTGTCTTAACTCCGAAAAAACTATTTGTTTCTCTGAATCGAAGGTTAAAAACACAAAAGCATTGTACACAATTTAAACCAATCAATATTGTGTAATTAACAAGGATAAACTGAAGTTTTTTAGTGGATGAGTAATGCAGATATCACTGTGTAATCATTAATAATGACAGTGAGGGGAATATATCCGGTTTTATTATGAAAACTTCGAGACCGGAAAAACTGTTTTCACCCACGCTAACTTTACATGGAAGCTGCATACACGTTATTCTGGCGAGACCTCAAATCATCTTCGTAATATTATCTATCAAACTATAGATCCTACACATCGACTGGACGTGGATTCTAAGAGTACAATATACACTTCTAATAATAATAATAATATATTTTATTTATAAGCGCACTTTTCATTTGCGTAAACAAAACTCAAAGTGCTACAAAACACACTACACTTCTCGCCAGAAATCGAATCAAAAAGCAATTTAATGGCCAAAGTATTCCACAATTTAGGATTTTCCAGAGAGGGTTATTTGTGAATAAACGTCCCTCCGGAGCGTTTGCAATGAATGGGCCGGGAGCATGTTGTTTCTTAGAAACAACATACACTTTAAAACGTGTCTCTGGGTCGTAATAAGGGCATGAACAATCGGCCTATATGGTCGTTTTTTGTAGGAGGACAGGCTGAATAGATTAATGTGAATATCCTCTGTGGCACTCAAAGCTGTTAAGCGTTTGCAGGTACAGTACCAGTCAAAAGACACACCTTCTCATTCAATGGTTTTTGTTTATTTTAATGTTGTGCTACTTTGTAGATTAATACTGAAGACAACACAACTATGAAAGAACACATATGGAATTATCTAGTTAACAACAAATTGTTAACAAATCCAGAATATGATTTTTATTTTAGATTCTTCAAAGTAGCCCTCTTTTGCCTTGAGGACAGCTTTGCACACTCTTGGCTTCTCTCATGGGGCTTTCACACTAACGCGGTTCCAGGGCTCGTTCGAAGCTAGAGCCTGAAAAGCACCGGTCTTTCCTGTTCACACCGCAGCGGAGCCGCCTCTAAGCTCCGGAATACGGTTTGTTTCAAGCACCAAAAAAATGGTCGTCCTAGAAGCAAGAACCGCATACGTCACGCTTACGTCGGAGGGGGGCGGGATTAACCTGAGCTAACGGTTAAAGGCGAGTACGGTAAATAAAAGTTGTAACAAGCAGTAGTGCTGAGCAAAGTGACTAGAACGCAACCACACACTTATAAAAAATAAAAACACAGTTTATAAAGTCAGGCAACACTAACCAGGCTTCGTGTGATTCTGTTTATTTGTACCTTACCATGCCCATCCGTTCGCTGTTATATTGATCATTGTGGAGAGAGGCAGACATTTTGTTTTGTATTATAGCAGCTATCGGATAGAATCAATACATGGGCTGCACAGGTTGTCATGTCCGACTATCACAAGTAGAATCATAATGAAAAATACGCTGGTAAAATGTGCCTGTAGAAAACGGCTTATGCCACAATAGGATAGCAACAACAAGTAGTCAAGATAGTCAGTTTGTGGAGGAAATTCCACTTTAAAAAACAGAAACAACCTGGTTGGCAAGAAATGAACAAATAATAGAAGTTTAAAGCAAAGTTGTATTATTTAATAAAGTCAATAAAAGTCAAAAAGCTTTTAACAGAGTTAATCTATTTCAGCCGAAAGGACAGAGTCTCGCACCAAGAAGCCAGCACAAGACCTCACCACATTCAAAGAAAATACAAATACTTTATACACTACAGAAGGAGGGAAGAGAAAGGTCTTCAGCAAGCGAATTTACATGACAAGAAGTGTTGACCAGACGGTTTGAAACCTACATACAGCTATGCAATTTACATTACAAGAAGTGTTGACCAGACGGTTGAAACTTTACAGACATGTTAATTACAAACCAATGGTTGTAGAGACAGACTTTGGTTTGTTCTAAATACATGAAATTAGAGGCTAGATGTGAATTCAATCCGTGGGAAATAA